AGAAAAGCAGTTCTTGATAACTTATTCCGAAAATCAGTTTTTCTGCTTTTATTTTATGTATAGGCTTTAATGGAATGTTACTTCACTGAACAACTTTTTATTTTTATCTACACTTTTGTTTGAAAATAAGTGTTAATCTATAGATTTTGTACTGTTTCTTTCATATAAAATAATTTTCTTGAAAGCTTTGTATATGATGTACTTGAGTACGATTGTATAATAAATGAAAAAGAAAGCTAATACTCATCTAACTAACCATTTTGGTCTTGTAAACGGTCATCAATAGTAATGGATAATATAGAAACTGTAACGGAATTTCCTCCAATTGCAACATTTTTTTTCACAGTTGTGCGTAACTGTAATTTTTTCAACGCAATTACGCACAGCTGCGATTTTTTTATCGCAGTTACGCGTAACTGCGTCGCAGTTTTTTCGCAATTGCGGGTCACAATGCGATCGCAGTTGCGGCGCAACTGCGTCGCAATTTGACCGCAATCGAACATATGGGTTCACTATGATGCCTAGAATATTTACAAAACAGAGACTAAAAGTAATTAATACATTTACTTTTAGAACTAATTTGGCACAATGAGTCTCCTATCAATGATTATTATCTGGTGTGATGTTAGTTTCGAAAATGACGAAAGCTACCAGCCAATGAAAGATGAATTCAATGAAACGACTACCGCTACATCGAAGAAACCAGTGGATCCTATCGATATGTTGATATTCGATGAAGGAAAAGAAGAGCTACGATCAAATAATGTTCCACTCATCACCGTTCGAACGGCTGATGATGCAATGCGTCAGATCGAGAAGAATAAAGATAAAAAAAATTTTGTCATCTGTTCTGGTACAGTAGGCCGATACCTCGTACCAGAAATTTCGTCTCAATATCATGAGATACACGATGTCTATATATATGCTCACAATATTGCCCTACATGTCGACTGGGCAGATAAATACATTGGAATGTTAAAACTGTTTAATTTTCATACTGATCTGTTAGTTCGACTGACACGAGATATTGCTAATTATTTTATTAAACGAGGACAAATCTTATTGAATCCGGAAGTCGACATGCCAAAGGAAGCATTAATCTGTTTCAAACATGCTCAACAACTGGAAATAGTAGCTAATATACGAGAAAAGATGAAGCCTAATACCAAACATCCGGAAAAAGATTATGCGCAACCCGATTTTCGTGATCATCTCGATTTACTCGAAGGTAAAAATGGACTAATCTCTAAAGCTGAAGAAGCTATACGTGAACAAGATGGTTGTTTGGAAGCTTCTTGAATTGAATTAGACCTGCAAAGTACTCTATGTAAGTTATTGTCTTCGCCTATGTCTCTTTCTCTGGATTTTTATTATGATCATTTTCTTCTTCTATAATAATTTCCTTATCGTATGATTGTTTTGTATCCCATCTAATACGTTATTTTTCTTCTCTTTCTCTAGCTTTCTCGTATTGTTAAAATTTTCAAATTACATTACTATTTTTTAAACTAATTAAAATATGTTTTGGATATCCCTTGATATATATGTAAGCGCTGCCAGTCATTAGATGTTCTTTTTTTTTCTTTCTTTATTTTTCTTCGTAAGGCAAGAAAGTATTCACATATTCAAGTACGCAATGAAAAAAAAACTTGTGTAAAAGTGTGCAAAGCAAGACAAATGTCACATTCATTCATATGAAATATTATGAACAACACAGCGTAATGTGCAATATAATATACTTTTTTTATCTTCTTCAGATACTTTTACATTTATTTGTTCAATGGCGAACGGGCAAATGAAACGTCTGGTCAATGAATATAACAAACTGCAAAATTGGGCTGCAAGCAGTGATTCAGCATCGAAATTCCGTGTTGAAACTGCATCTAGTGAAGAGATAACATTCACATCTCCATCAGCATCGACTAGTGCCGGAGCTGCCTCAGCTACGAACACCGTGTGGGGTAATATCATGGGATTAATATATCCTTCAACAGCACCCTTTCAACAACGAGGTCCAAGAGTGGAAATACGAGTGCCGTCGACATTTCCTCATGAACCACCAGAAATATTCATGAGAACCAAAATTCGTCATCCTAATATCGAGAAAGATGGTAAATAAGAGTGAGATAGATTGATTTTATTTTTCTATTTTATTCGAAAAAAAAACAAAGATATACAAAGTTTTCTTGAGTCATCATGACAATTCAAATCTTTTTGAATAATCGTTTTCTTTAATTTTTGTTTTTGTCTGCAGGCAAAATTTGTAGCAGTTCATTGAGTGAGACCAAAAAGTGGAATGCAACTGAATTGTGTAATGTCATGAAAAATATAATCAATCTTATCGAAAATCCTGAACGGGGTCATGTCGTCGATGCTGGTCAGTTCTTTGACATTTTTTTTTCATCTTTTATTCAACTGTTTCTAAACTTATTAGAAATGGGTAGTTTATATGACACAAACATCACCGAATACAATAACAAGATAACGGAAATGGTCACCATCGACGGAGTACATCGAACCTAAACAAAACTATTCACTCGAATATTTATCATGTATTTCTTTATATTTCTATATCCTATCAAAATTAGTTTGTTTATCAAAGTTACAACTTCAACAGTATAGATCATTGAAGTTCGTTTCAGTACCGTGAAACTATGACATCCTTTCAAATAATAGTAAAGCGGAATAAAGGGCATGTTATTGAACATATTCATTAAAATCATCCAATTAATTTAGTGAAACTTATATTTTAATCGAATTAATTGAATGATTTTTCAGTCTTCCTCAAATTCATGAAATTATTTTGATTAAAATGTCTGCTTCATCATCAAAAATTCTATTTTATGGAACTGACATATATTCTTGAAGAAAATATTGAGTGTAAGTTTTAAGTTCAATTTTTCATGGTTCGCCATCCCTCTCCATTACAGATACTTAGCAATGCAGGCCTCCACTACATACAGATCGCCATTACAGACTTTAGAAATTGAGAATAAGAGGTATCAGACTTTCTAGTTTTTTTTTGAAAAATTGATCAAGTTATAGTTTTGAAAGATAATTAACATCGTCATTTGTGAGATAATTCATATATACGTCTGGAAAAAAACTAAGCTGTAGTCTGTATTTTGAAAATATCGTTATCATAATAGCGTATTTTTTAAACAATAATAATATATTTTGAAAACCTCTGGAGTTTCCTATCCGTCTACTTATTTGCCTTTTCGTTTGAATATATATATTAAAAAAAGAAATTGAGTGTAATGAAGACATCCTCAGATCCAAATTCTCACAGACTTGATTTTTTCACTATCACCAAATTGAGGTTTTAACATTTTTCATCCCTATAGAATTAGCTTTTGAGAAGAGTAATTATATATTCAGATAGAGCTTGAAGTTTCCTATCCCCCTATATATCTCTTCTACACCCATACCCACACCCACACGTTAGTTATTGTTGAGGAATATGTGATAATAAATAGTTTGTATATCAAACTGTCTCTATCTGTTTTTCTTTTTCTAAAACACTTCGATGATCTATATTGTTGGAGTCATAACTTCGATAATTGATATGATAATCTTGAAAATTTTCTTTTTATTTACTCTTATGAATAAAGAAATTCTTTATTATACGTACATCTAGACAGAGCATACTGATTGTTGTATGAAGTATCTTGATAATTGTTAATGTTGATAATATTTAATATCGACTATTATATCGATATTCTCTAAAATGTAATGCACAATAATTATGATAATTATTAATCGGCAAAAAATCGTAACGCGTCACATCTAATACAGGAAAATTAAAAAATAAGTTATAATATTAATACTTTCGTCCTATAGGGCCTAGTTCAAAGTGAGCAAAATCTCTTCCTTGCTCTAAGAAAAGATGGTTTTGCTCACATTTGTCAATCATTATCAAAATTTCGATAGCAAAAAAGAGAGCGCATTTTACTGATTATCGTCATCGCGTTATGTTAATTAAACCAAAATAATGAGCCAATAAATGTTCTTTTTTGAATTATTTTATTTTTTCGTTGGGTACTTCGTACTTTCGGCTACAAAGTTGTTATGGATCGATTTTTCCAATTTAGTGCGCATCCAAAGAAAAACAACGAATAAACATATCACCCTCAAATTGTTGTCCAATTTTCATCATTGCGTTTCGCTCAGTATTTTGTCATCATTTTCAAACGACTAAGCCAAATAAACTCAGATTTTCAGAAATTGCGACAAGGTAGGGAAACGCAGCGTTTGATGAAAGAATCAAACTTCTAAATAGACTAGTTTCTTAGAAGAATGGAAACAACTGTGGACAAAACGTCATCGCGTCACGCTTGTGAAAGCCGTAATATGATCTTTTATACCTCTTTCATCTATTATCAATATGTTCTTCTTATTGATAAATGGAAACTAGGAACGTAATTGTTAGCGTTCGAGCTCACGAAGAGCGACGAACACAGTTAACGTGTGTGTTTTATTTTTTTTTTATTTTTTTTTATTAACGCTTTATCCACTTATTATGACGAATTCGCCGTGTGGCGCTGACCGTCTTCTCACAAATAAGGCTTCTAGATACTACTAGATACTACGAACTTAAAACATAGATTAACAAAAATAATCAACTGTTCAGAAGGAAAGTGCATACAACAATAAGAAATGGCCTAAGTATAGACAAATTCACATAGGTGATCAAAAAAGGTACGACAATCTTCATCAAGAAAAGATGTGAGTCTTTTGTTTGGTCGACCTGATGGCATATATTTTATATGTGCTATAATTCGATAATGATTATAAAGCGTGTTAAATAAGTATTTGTATTGTAATACGCATTCGATGAGTATTGATTCGTAAAGTTGAATATTTTTCATACGTTTTAATAGGCATTTTTTATATCTTTGCTCGATTGCAGGTAGATGAAAGTAAAAATGTAAATCGTCCGTAGGACATTGAAATAGATAATGGATCAATCTTAAACATTTTCGATAGAATGCTGCTACTCGTTCTTGAGAGGTATTTGAGAAAAGACAATAAATTGTTGCTAACATGTACATGCGTGGCCATATATATGTATTAAAGAATTTCATTTTTAATTTCGAAAATGATGGAAATTGCCGATGAATAAATTTTAGTATCATATAGGCTTTCCGTAACTTTGTAAATTGAGCGTCAATCATAATACGAAAAGACAGCTTCGCGTCAAGATGAAAGCCAAGATATTTGAAACTCTTCTTTTGCAAGATTTTCACTCCATCATAGTAAATACTCAACTTTGGGCTTTGAACTGATTTATGATAAACAACAAACTCAGTTTTGTTCGGATTTAGTGGTTGATGCCAATCGTTCGCGTACTTTAGCAACTTCACCATATCGTTGTTGATACGTTTTTCAATTTCGACGACTTGAAATTTCGGTTTCAGATAAATTGATGGCACATAAGCAATTGCAATATCATCAACATATGCGTGGACATAAGCTGGATTTTCAAAACATTGAGGAAGATCATGATGACTAATGACATACATTACAGGTCCAAGACAATTTCCTTGAGGAGCTCCTCGTTCGACGTTGATTAATGTTGAAACCACTCCACCATAATCAATTTTCAAAGACCGATTTGAGAAATAATTAGCTAACCAAACAAGATAAGATGACGAACAATCAAGTCTTTTTAGTTTTAGTAGCAGTCCTTGATGCCAGAGTTTGTCAAATGCTTGCAGAAAATCAATATAAACGACCGGAATGAATGAATTGTAGCGTTGAGATTGAGTAATTTGTTCCAATAAGCAGTTAACTCTGGATGTTGTTGCTTGGTGGGGTCTTGCACCTGATTATTGGAGAGGTAAGATATTCATTTTAGATGACCAGCTGTTGAATCTAATGAGAAATAATCTTTCATAGATTTTACTGAATGTTGGCAACATAGAGATAGGACGTAATTGATTTGTCGTTGGTGCAGGATTATCGCTTTTATTGAGACATATTGTCCGAGCCATTTTCCATTCCTTTCCCCAATGTGCATAGCGAAATAAAACGTTGTAAGCATGTGTAAGCATACCGTGGTAATGTGTCGGGAGAAGTTTAATCATCTTATTGGATAATTGATCAAAACCGGATGAGCTTTTATTTTTTAATGATCGAATCGTATTTTTTACATCTTGTTCATTAAATTTGAGATCTGATTGAGTAAGTACTAATTCAATATCATTTGTATCAGCTGAACTAAATAGTTTCCACAGTTCATCAGCTTCTTTATCAAGTGTATTTGTCATATTCAATGATGAAAGTGAATGACGTTCAGTAAAGTGGTGACTTAGACACTTAACAATATCCACCGGAGATTTATGCGTTATATTTGCTTCTGTTACGGCCGAAAAGTCAACTGATTTCTTTTTATTCAACTTTTTCACTGTTCGCCAGAATGATGATGGATTTGGAGAGGCAACATTTGATATAAATTGTTCCCAACTTCGTTGTTTAAGTGCTTGAAATTCTCGTTTAACAGTTACATTCCAAGATCGTAATCTTAATCGATCTTCTTCAAATCTTGAATGTCGATACCGATTTTGTAAATAATGTTTGTGTCGGAGAAGTACTTGCAATGATGGTGAGATCGATGGTCGTTTTCGTTTGACTTCTTTCCATATTGTTACTCGAAGTTTAAGAGCAGCCAGGAATTGTTCAAGTATTAGAAACCAATTGTGTGTGCTGTTGGCGCTGTTCGAATAATTTTCTTGTTCGTCTTTAAATTGATCAATAAGAACTGTTAGAATTGATGAATAAATTTTCCAATAAGTTCGAGGTACTAAGTGTTTGTCCATTAATACATTAAGCCGAAAGAATTTCGTGAGTATAGGTAGGTGATCACTACCTGTATAAGATAAAGATTTGCTTTCAGAAGTTTCAGGAATTTCACCAGATATAACAAGATCAATTGTTGTGTTGGAACGTAGAGATGATTTAATACCACTATTGAGTACACTTAAATTATGCTGTATGAGCCAATTAGCCAACTTCCGACCCTTAGTGTTCACCTGCAGACAGCCCCAGTCAGGATGTTTGGCATTTAGATCTCCTGCAATGATAACGTTCTTCGCTTCACTTACTAACTTTGTCATTGTAGTCAAAGGTAATTGTTCAGTCGGTGGTGAATAGATACTTGCGACAACAAATCGTTGATTATCTATTCTAATTCGAACAGCAATTAGATTCGGTTCATTAATTTCTATTTGTTGACATGATAATCTTTTGTCAACTGCGAGTACAACATCGCCATGTGAGTTCGTACCTTCTTTTAAATAAACATTGTAGGAGAAGAGAAGTTGATTGATTATTTTCTTCGGAATGGTGGTACCAAGTTCGTTGAGAGAGATTATATTTGGAGAAAAGACATTTACCATATCAATAAGTTCAGCTTGATTTGAATAAAAATGACGAATATTATAATGCAACAATGACATGCATTTACATGAGATTTCAGGTTGACGATATTGTTGTTGCCAATAACTAGAAAGTTCGGAAATACTACAGGTCCAGCAACAATCATGCAATGTTTCAATCCCAATTTGCTTTTGAATATCAGAAAGATCATACATTAAAGGTAATAATTTGTCTGTTAATTCGACGAATTTGTAACTATTAAATTGAAGTGAATTTGAATTATTAGTGAGAGACATTGGCTATTGAAGAGTCGGTGTGATCGAATAATAATTGCTGATTATGACAATCTCCCTGGAGCTTATGGTTCATCAATATATCATTGATTTTATTATTTAATTTTTTAAACTCTTCTTGATTATTTCGTTTTTTGGGTGATTGTGATGGTATACGGCCTAACACTTGAATTGATGGAAGAATAATTTCATTAATAATCTTTTCTATTTCCTTTTGCCGATCAGAATAAACAATTATTTTCTTTTCGATTTCACACAGTTGTGATGTCAGACGAAAAGAGAATTCATCTAAACGACGTTCCATCTTGTTTAAGAATGATGATAAAGTATATTAAATATTTTGTTGAGGACCTTGTTTGCGTTGCTGTTTGGTCATTTCGGCATATGATTTTTGAGAAGATTCCGTGGTTTGCTGTGGCATTTGAGAAGAAGGAAGTTGAAGGTTATCATTGCCTAATGTTGGATAATCACGTTCATGAAAATCATATCGATGTTGTTGACGTTCAGCAAGCACTAACAGTTCGGTCCTTTGTCTTTTTGATTGTTCTACAAGAACTCGACGTTTTTCCTGTACAATTGGACAAGCCGAGTGACCAGAAATGTGATCACCACCACAATTGATACACCTTTCTTGATTCGGGCAACCATGTTCAAGAGAATGTTCATCAGCACATCTTGGACATAAACGAGGACGAGTGCAGGACCTTGTTGTATGATCATGTTTTAAGCATTTTAAACACTTATTAACACGTATTGGTAAATGATAAGGTTTAACCGGATGAATCATACTACCAACATTAATTTTTCCTGATCGAATAAGAGTTTTAACTTCTTCGATAGATTTAAAATCGGCTCGAACTGCATTTA